CCCCCTGGGAAGGCAGTGAGGTTCAAGGCTGTTGTCCAGAAGGGAACCCTGGATGTTCCTTACAAAGCGAAGGTGACCACTATCTTTGGATACGAGACGGTTATTACTGGAAGATGGTTTGGAGCTTCGGTGTCCAGAGTGGGGATAAAGGAAGAAATCCTTGACCTCAAAAAGTGGCCATAGATCTGGCAAAGACCTGTATGAAGCATATTATTAAATAAATGGGCAAATACTAGCAGTTGTGAAGTTGTATGTGTTTCATTATCTGGGGTTGTGTGTTCTAACCAATACAAATGCCATAAGTGCTTGGAGAGTAATCCAGTTGAATATGGTATGCTATGATTTTCTGGGACAATGGGGAAAATACTGGCAGTTGTGGAATTCATTAGTTTTGTTTTCATTCAGGGACTCGAACTAATCCATTCCTATCATTTTTGTAACTTGGTGGGAAACACTTCTAATAGGCTTACAGTATGTACAAGCTAATATTTCAGGATGTTCTGATGGGTTATTTTGTGTTGTGTACATTATGCCAAGTGTTTGCAGTTTCACTATACCTTGCTGTTCCTTGAGCCATTTTATGTGTACATTTACTGCATAAAGTCCCTACTTCTCCAGAGTCTGCTTCCATTCCACTTAACCTAGATCTTCAACTGTACAATTGCTCTTGCAGAGAATGGCATACAAACCGTTCATTCTTCTGACACGAAGAGAGGCCTGGAGCATGAGGATGTCCTGAGCCAAACATCCTCATCTTAGCTGTCCTGGCTGTGATTTCACTCTCGGCCAATGTGCATGTTGCAGCTTGCCGTTTGAACCTCTACAATATTTATACTGGCCTCAAATGAGACCCAATGAGTTGTGCAGTGCTATGCAACACTGAAGTCAATAGGAGTTGATCATCAGAATTGGAACTGTCTGGGTTTGTCTAGAATTATCCCCTTAAGTCTAAAGAGTCAAAATGGACAATCCAGTGTTCGGTTTGCTGTGAAGGGAGCAGCTCTCTCATATGTTTTGTCCATGGTTGAGTTACAGCTTGAACAGTGTTATGGTTGCTTTCCCCTTTTATTACACATTGTGCTCCCTGATCGCACGGCCATGTGTCACAGTACAGCACATGTCTGACTCCTGCCTTATCTAGCACTGCTTTACCATCTCCAGCAGTAAAATATTATAGGCCCATGTTAAAAGCAATGAATGGAGGATGTTAAAGATGCATCTTTTACAAAAGCACCACCAAATGAATCTAGAATCAGCTTTGCATGAAGTGTCCCTTGTAATAAACAGTTGAATAGTAATTTTTCAGGTCGGATACCAGGATTCCCCAAGTAGCAGCACTGAAAGGGTGTGGTGAGGCTAGATGGTATAAAGCACAAATTCCCAGAAAGAACCATGTAAATTTAACTTCTCACTGCAGTCACCTACAGATGATTAAAACTCATTTACAGTGGAAGGAATCCCCCCCGTTCACCACTATAGGGCCAAGACAGCCCTCTTATTGTTCTCTCTCCCTAATTATCAGATGAGACTATCGGCACCACTGGAGTTTCTAATTAAGAACCTTATATTGCATATTACAGAATATTATTCTGTTATATTACATAATGAGTAATTACAAATGTTATTACAAAATATTACATTCTCACAATTTAATAAAAGGAATTTATCAGGTCACATTGGAGGAAAACATTAATACTGTAAAATGATGGGAAGCTGCATCGTGTGAACTGGCTGAGAAAGTGAAATCACAGCCAGAACAGCTAAAATGAGGTTGTTTGGCTCAGGACCTCCTCATGCTCCAGTCCTCTCCTTGTATCAGCAAAGTGAAGGGCATATAACCTTTCTCTGCAAGAGCAATCATTGTATAACTCAAGATCTGGACAAAACTGATCTAGTGGAATGGAACCAGACCCTGGATTGACCAGATGAGAAGATCCAGCAATCTTCTAAAGAAGTGTTTCTCATGTCTGGTTTCTCAGAGATCTTCCTTAAACCTCTGGAGAAAACATTGTAGCATACCATATTCAACTGGATTACTCTCCAAGCATTTACAGTGCAGTCCATAAGTATTTGGACAGTGACAATTTTTGTTGTCTTGGCTCTGTACACCAGCACATTGGATTTGAAATGAAACGATGATGATAAGGTTAAAGTGCACAATGTCAGCTTTAATTTGAGGGTATTTACATACATATTGGGTGAACCATATAGGAATCACAGCTCTTTTTATACACAGTCCCCGCTTCCATTTCATGGGACCAAAAATTTCACATAATCTTACAATTTGGCATGGTTGCAAATCCTTTGCAATTGATGACTGCCTGAAGTCTGTGACTCAT